ATTGTACTATGTTTTCCAGTTGATTATGAAGGACACAACTCAAGAACAGCCAGGTGAAAGATGCATAAGTCAAGGGAGAGTGATGGGGGACGTTGGGACAAGTAGGTGACCCTGGTAAAAAGTGGTAACTAAAGCAATCTCCCATTCTTTGTGTTCTGCAGGAGCAACGTAATGTCAAAAAAACAAAACAACAACAACAACAACAAAAAACCCCTTCCCATTATGACATTGATGTTGCTCTGTTATTTACCTGTCACAAAAGGAAACACAGACAGTGCAAATTCCCATTTTTGCCTCATGAACAATTAGATGAACAGTTTTCTTCTTCAGAACAAAATACTTACTAATCAAACTTTGCTTAAGTTTCTCTCCTTACCCCAGGCTCCTGAACTCTGACCCACCTCAGCCTGAGCCAAAATACAACCTCTCTTTCTTCTCCTCTTAAGAACAGGCTGACTTCAGGGCAACGCATTCTGATTTCAAAGCTGATATTGCCATCCTCCATCTGGCCTCTCCCTCCCACCTTCTTTCTAATCTTGTTTGCTTCTCTCTAGGGAAAAAAGCCTTTGTCTGCCTAAACTTTGAGATGCTGGCAGATCTCATGTTTGATGTTTCTCTCACTGCAATACTCCTTTTACAATAGTTACTTCTAACCTTAACTTGAAAATATTTTATTTCACATTTATCTAGAAACAGCCCAAAACAACGACAATTACACCCTCAGAAAAGGCATTACCCCCCCTACTCCCATCCCAAATCTCACCAGTTTCCCTGTGGATTCCAATTTTTCCAAGACTCTGCATAAAGAGCTCCTTTCACGGTTGGTTTAAACAGATTGGAACACCTGCAGTGAAGACTTCCCGAGAGGAACTAACTCGGCTTTCAGTGACCCCCCTTTTGCAGAATTAGGATGGTTATTTGCTTGGGTTCTCTAAGGCCATATGTCTGCTTTCAAGTCAAGAATATTCACTTAGTTTTAAATAAGTAAAAACCTAGTGATAAGTAAATCCAGCAAAATTACTCAAACTCAGTGTTTATGCTATAGGCAGAAAATTTTTGCATTTTTATTTTATATCTCAGCAAAAAAATAAAAGTATCTATCTTTTCCAGGCAGTAAATGAGTCATTTAATTATCATTTTTATAACAAATCATATAGTAAACAATAATGTATGAACACTTGTAGTAGTTGCCAAGTTTCATTCCATAAAATTTAATATTAAACTGAAATTCAGATAACAGAACTGAGGTACCCACTCTCAAAAATTCTCCACTCTGCACAAGAGGAACTGATGTTTTCATAAATGTTTGTAATTTGTGTGTTAACCTACTTTTTTGTAGAAATGTATTTACTTTTCTGTAGCTATAATGAGAAACATTTCTTCTGTTTTTTTCCTAAGGTAGAATTCCCAAAGCTAAGCTCTGAGATTCAGTTTGAAATCATGCTAAAATAGAACAGACCTCAGAATCTTCCTACATTCACTCTACAAAATAAAAAAGGTAAATGAAAATTTTTAACCAATGGAATATAAAACAAGTTATTTTCTCTGAAATCTATCACTTTCTTTCCTCTTAGAAACATTTGTGGTTTTTTATCTTTCAAGCTCTAATGACAAAATACATTATACAGTTAATAAAAACGAAATAAGTGAACAAATATATTCAAGATGACAAACGCAGGGAGAGGTGGTGCTGAGTCACAAACATATTGGACTCATGTGTCAATCACTTGAGAGATTCTCCAATCCCCATCCTGCTAAGGTACTTAATCACCACCTTCTCAGAAGGCACTGCACTTGCCTCTTATGTGCCTGATGTGTATTTTCCTTTGCAAGTTCATACACTACCTCATTAAAGTGGGTTTTTCCTGCACTTTGGGATAGTTATTCTCCCTTCACAAGCCTGAGAGAAACCAGAGGACAAGATGCATGTGTGCCTTTTCTCCTTAGTACCAGCACCAATGTGTCTGCCAGGAAAGGAAGCTGGGACTGAGAGAAAAAATCTTAATATTCAAAACAGTTAGCTTTTTAGAGAAAATGTATATCGGGAAACTGCTCTCAGCAAAGGGGCATCTAGCTGTTTCCCTAAGATGCTCCACCCAATACCTTAGGCTGTCTACTGGGAGAGAGCTGATACTCACCAGACACGCCAAGAGACAGGGCCACTGTGAGCATCTTGCGTCATCCCCAGACAGTTGTTAAACCCAGAACCAGGAAAACACAGAAGAGTGGCTGAGGATGCATCACCCTGCAAAGGTACCAAAAAGCAACCTCAACCCAAAGAAATTTTGTTAAGGTGTGTGCCTAGGCAAGATAAACAGAGAGGTGCAAAGATTTGTTACAGTATTGTCAGGAAATTATTCTTTTGTGTCGTGAAATGTTCACCAGAAAAGTAAGAGACAACCACCACACTGTGAAACAAAAATAAACAATTAAAATATTGTGTTTGTTCTAAAACCAAATAAAGAATTAATAGTTGAAAACATGATTTGGGAGAGGGATAATTGGCATTTGGGAATGTAAGTCATAAATTGGAAATTTAGTTTCCTTTTTTTTTGAGACAGAGTCTCACTCTGTTGCGAGGCTGAAGTGCAGTAGCGCCAACTTGGCTCACTGCAATCTCCACCTCCTGGGTTCAAGAGACAATGCTGGCCAGGATGGTCTCGATCTCATGACCTCATTATCTGCCTGCCTCAGTTTTCCAAAGTTCTGGGATTATAGGCATGAGTCACCTCACCTGACTGGAAATTTAGAATTTTCTACAGGCCCTAGAACAGCTAGGCTAGGAGAACAAGAATGGATTTGGAGACCCTGCTTGCCATATGTTTGAAAAATGCAGGGAAAACCAGTCCCCCTGTGAAGCATTAAAATAATTAAACGGCTCACAATTTGACTAAAATGGCCATAGTGCCCTGGGATTCTACCTGAGGAAACCTAACTATGTTAAAAAGAAATTTTCTGTGAATTATTAACTTAAAGAAAAACAAATCTTAGGTTTAACCAATCACAAGCTGCCAATAAAGCTCTGACTACATAACCAGGACATTTGCACCTGATGCATGCAAATGCAATATGTAACTGTACCCAATCCAATATTGAATTTGGTGTGCTTCCTAATGCTTCTTTCTTCCTCATGCCTTTTCTTCAAGTCCCACCTTTGAGCCCACAAACAACAAACCACAGCTGGGTGCTCTCTGATTCATAAATTGGTGTTTGGGCAAATCAATGTTTTGTATTACGTAATTCATTCCTGCATTGCTATAAGGAAATACATCAGACTGGATAATTTATAAGAAAATTGTTTTAACTGGCTCATGTTTCCGCAGGCTGTACAGAGAAAAAAAACACCAGCATCTGCTTCTGGGAAGGCCACGGAAAGCTTAAAATCATGGTGGAAGGCAAAGCGGGAGCTTCCAACTAGGGCAAGGGGGATGAGGAGTGGTATACAACTTTTTTGGTTTGAAACAGTCTGGCTCTGTTGCCCAGGTTGGAGTGCAGTGGCCTAATGTCGGCTCACTGCAACCTCCGCCTCCCAGGTTCAAGCGATTCTCCTGCCTCAGGCTTCTGAGAAGCTGGAACTACAGGCGCATACCACCA